GCCAGCGTGGCGGCGAAGAATCCGAGGCGCGCGCTTTATTCTCCAAATAGGTTTGCCCCATAGGAGTCCCAGCTCATGATGAGTAATTGGTCTTTAGGACCCCCCACTCTTTTTCCAATGACGCCCTCCCTCATCTCCCATGCCGCCCCCCCTTTTGCTCGCTTCTTTTTGCTCGCTTCTTTTGGCTTGCCGTGCCATGCTTGGCTTCCTCTTCTCCCGTCTTCTCCTCCTCGTCTTCTTCTTTTCTCGCTCTTCTCCTGTCCATGTATATTTCGAATCAGCGCTGGCTGATATTCTTGGGTGATTGGAACTTCGCGCTGGGGGGGGGGGCAGGTGCGCCGGGGGCGGGAGTGGGTTCGCTGCTGGAGATGCCGCTGCTTCAGACGCCTCTTTCCTCATCTCGCGGGGCTGTCTCAAGACCTCGACACCCGAAGGGGAAGAAGAGGCAGAGTGGTTCGCGCAACCCCGCGTGCCGACCGAAATTATACGTCATTGCCGTCCGCTTGATCAGAGACTAGACCTTCGACTTCGACTGTTGGGCCCCTGAAGTCCGCTATGCCGAGTGATCATGTTCCTGTTCGTGCTGTTTTTGAACGATTTCGGCCCGAGCGGGATCGCCCCTGCGCCCCTCCCCGGGTTGCTGGGATGCCCGAGTTCGGTCAGGCTCTGGAGGAGTTGTTGAATGAGATACCTGGGGACAGGGATGTCTGGGCTCACTCTCGATTGCCAAGACTTTCTTCTTTGGGGCGGGGAAGAGGGCGCGTTGGGCCCCTCGCTGCCGGTCTGCCGCCAGCTTGCAAGGGCAACGCTACTGGGCGCTCGCTGCACCTCGTGCCGTTCAGACTGGCGACGCCGCCAGAGTCCAGCTCGCCCTTGGGTGCTGCCCGCGCCTCCGCTCTCACTTCGACGCCTTCTTGGACTGTGTCAATTTCCATGGGTTCTCCCAGCCCGTCCTTCATCTGTGCCGCCGTGTTCTGACTGGGGAAGAACGGGGGATTGATGATTCTGCGCGCTCTATGTCTGCTTGCCTCCGCCGTCGTAAGCTACTCCGGCAGAAGTTTCGCAGGCAGACGTTCCTGGGCGCGGTCGAGGCCTCGGATGGGCCCCCTACTGGCTCCTCTGAAGAATCCGCTCGGTTTCTCGGTGATCGATGGGCCTCCGTGTTTGCCGCCCCTGACGTGGACTCTTCCCGCTGGAACGACGTCGCCCATCGCGTCGAGGCCCTCGATGGCCCTCTTAATCAGGAATGGCGTCTGGAGTGCCCCTGCTGGTATGAATTGGTGTTGGGGCGGGCCCGCAGTGCCCCTGGGCCTGATGGTGTACCTTGCGCTGTGCGGAAATATCCAAGCGCATCTCGTGTGCTCTACTCTTGCTACCCCTCCCTCTTCGACGGAAACCTCCACTCGCTCCCTGAAGACATGCTGTGCACTTTTGATGGTGTTCTCCCCCAAGGGCGCGGCCCCTTTCGACACTCCTGGCCAGGCCCTTGTTCGTGAAGCTAGCGCCACTCGCCCGCTATGCTGAGGGAGCGCAGATATCGGGCTGTTGGCCGCGGCTTGCATCTTGCCCATCGTTGCGAACGCGCCCCGCTTGTTGGCGCTGAACAAAAGTGCGTGGCGGGGAGGGATATGATTGAGAACGTTGTTGAGGCAGAGGCATGGAGGATGAGGAGGGTCAGGAATGACGAAGAGCACTCCGTCCTGCTGCTCACCGACTTCGCTGCCGCGTTACCGAGTTTAGCGCATGGCTGGCCCTTTTTCGTGCTGCGCGCCATGGGCATCTCTCCTCGCCTCGTCCAGTTTTTTACCAGGATGAATGCGTCCAATATCGCTATCATCACTGTTCAGGGTCAACGAGCCCAGTCCATTCCCGTCGAGTCTGGTGGCAAAGCAGGAGTGTCCTGCCTCGATGTTCCTCTCTGTGCTTGCAGTGGGCCCATTTCTTGTCTGGATGAGGCGCCAGTGCGCCGTGAATATCTGTTTATCCTTGGCCTGTGCGGATGACCTCTGCTTTGGCGCGGGGAGCGTCCTCACTGACCTTGGTCCGCTCCTGTCGATTTTGATAGGGCCCAAGGCCTTCGCGAACCTTCGTCTGAACTTCGAGGCGTGCCAAATTACATGATGCTGTCGCACTGACGTTGGCCGTCTTACCTCGGTGTTGGCGACGTTTGGCGCCCCCTTCGTCGCCTGCAGGTTGCCTTGCGTCTACCTGGGTTCCCCCATTGGGCCGAATGCGGCCCGTGAAGTCTGGTCCGCGGTGATTCCTGGATTTCTTTCCAGGGCGCGCCTGACGCGGCAACTCGGGCTTGGCATTGCACAATCAGCTACTGCTTTCCGCGTGATGTGCGCCTCGAAGTTTCTCTTTCGGCTGCAGCTGTGCCTGCCTGATGCCGCTCTCAACCCCCAGTTCTGTGAGAGCGTCATGCGGCTTGCTTCTGGGCCTAGGAGTGCTATCGCATGCAACATTGCCACAGGGCTCAAAGCAATTGGCTTAAGCATTGAGTTTGTTGACCCCAGCGCTGTCGCGCAGTCCGCCGCGATCAGATGCATTCAGTGCTCTGGTGGGCTGCGCGGAGTTCTGGGGGACCTCGAACGATCAGGCTCGTGGGGACTTTGAGCACATGCCATATCGCTGGCACCGTGGTTGGCATGAACGCAGTTTTCTGGGCTGTAGGCGGACAGTTCGCGGCTAGTTTCAAGGGCTCTTGACTGGCCTCGGCGCTGGGACCCCTATGTTCCGAACCAAGTTGTACATGCACTGTAGGTCGATCCATGGGTCCGAGCCAGTTCGTGGTGCCCTTCTGCGGCGCGCGCACCATTTTTACTATGAACTTTGCCCTGAGGATACTGACTGTATGTGTGATGCGATTCTGCGAGCGTGCACGGCCACGTCTATGTACATCGGGATTGCATTTCTCCGCATTTTGACGGGTTCGAAATGTACGAGCGCGAGGTTGCCCCTCGGGGGTGTCTGTTCGGAGGCCACGGTGCCGACGGCCATGACACAGACTCGGTCCGCCACTATTCCAACTGTCCTCACCTCAAGGCTCTTTTTTTCGGAAATGGATGGGAAGGACTATGCGTGTGTATGGTGGTGAAGTGAGCTATCATTGGTTCCCCTCTTGCTTCCTCCTTGAGTTTGGTAACCTGTCAGCCTGTTAAAAGCGTGCTGCCTGCATGGATGCTTTTATTTGTGCCCTCAATGCGAGATGCCTGGGCCGCCCTGCCGCTCCCGAGCTGGTGTTTGCGGCCCGTTGGAGAGTCACCTCTCGGAGGCACCCCCAAGCTAGCCCAAACTTGGGGCGAGGTCGGCCTCTTTCCCAACCGTCATGTGGCGAGGACGGCGGCCCCTGGCCTGGGAGCGCGGCCGCGGCGAGCGTCTGGCACTCCTCGCGGCAGGTGGGAGCTCCCTTCTTCAGTGCCGCCGCCTCCTCGCCACGACGTGGCTCGTACTGCTCGGCGCACGCGCCGACCGCCTTTAACATCAAACGTGCAAAACCCAACGAGGATTGAATACAAAAAACATGGGGGTGGTTTATGGACGTCGAGGGTGGGTGCCAGGAAAAGGGAGAAGCCAATGAAGGTCAAATCAGCTTTTTTACATCACATGTTTGCAAGATGGTCGTCGTCGTCGTCTTCGTCGTTGTCGTCGTCGTCGTCGTCGTCGTCGTCGTCGTCGTCGTCGTCGTTATCGTCATTATTTTTGTCTTTGTTACCTAACAGCTTGTTCTGATAGGTTTCTAGTGGGGTCAAAAGAGAGCAGCAGATGACTCCACAGGGGGGTCTGGGCGGGTGCCGGACAGTGTGCCGCAGAAGTCGTTTTAAGCCAACAGTCACACACTTCGTGCTCTTCGACCTCCCAGAACTCCATTCCCGGGCCACATTCTGAATGCCCGGAGCCAACTGTAGGCCACTTCGTGCTCTTCGAGTTCCCAGAACTCCATTCCCGGGCCACATTTTGAATGCCCGGAGCCAACTGTAGGCCACTTCGTGGTCTTCGAGTCCCCAGAACTCCATTCCCGGGCCACATTTTGAATGCCCGGAGCCAACTGTAGGCCACTTCGTGCTCTTCGAGTTCCCAGAACTCCATTCCCGGGCCACATTTTGGATGCCCGGGGCCAACTGTAGGCCACTTCGTGCTCTTCGTCCCAGAACTCCATTCCCGGGCCACATTTTTGGAGCCAACTGTAGGCCACTTCGTGGTCTTCGAGTTCCCAGAACTCCATTCCTGGGCATGATTTTGAATGCCCGGAGCCAACTGTAGGCCACTTCGTGTTCTTCGAGTTCCCAGAACTCCATTCCCGGGCCACATTTTGAATGCTGAGGCAGGCTGATGCTGAGGCTGAGGCAGGCTGAGGCAGGCTGAGGCTGAGGCCGAGGCTGAAGGCAGACTGGCTGAGGCTGAAGCAGGCTGAGGCTGAGGCTGAGGCAGGCTGAGGCTGAGGCTGAGGCAGGCTGATGCTGAGGCAGGCTGAGGCTGAGGCTGAGGCTGAGGCTGAGGCAGGCTGAGGCTGAGGCCGAGGCTGAAGGCAGACTGAGGCTGAGGCTGAAGCAGGCTGAGGCTGAGGCTGAGGCAGGCTGAGGCTGAGGCAGGCTGAGGCTGAGGCAGGCTGAGGCTGAGGCTGTGACTGCGACTGCCGTTGCCACTGCGACTGTCATCGCGAATGCGACTACGACTGCGAGAACAGCAGAATTCTACAACTGGATTCTCATCTGAATCTTACGGGGAATGCTTCCAGATATGCTCCTACACATCGCTGTTAGGTTGCTTTGCCGGGATAATTTTTGTCTCTGTTTTTGTCGTTGTCGTCGTCTTTGGCGTCGCCGCCGTTGTCCTCTTTGTCGTCTTTGTCGCCTTTGTTGTCTTTCCCGTCGTCGCGGTCGTCGTCGTTGGTGTCGTCGTCGTCGTCGTCGTCGTCGTCGTCGTCGTCGTCGTCGTCCTCGTCGTCGTCAACATCGTTTCCTTCTTCGGCGTTGTCGTCACCGTCGTTGGCACCTGAGGACGAAAGGCCAGAGGCCGAAGGGCTCGGTAGCCAGGAACAGTTGGTCCGGATGCTGCAGCGCACGCGCGTGTGCGAAGAGTCGCGCCGGCAGCCGGACAGGCCCTCGCCGCGGCCGGTGCCGTTACTGCCGCTGCCGCTGCTGCCGCAGTGTCAGATGTGGAAAAGGTATCCATACCCCTACCTTTGCTTCATTTTGTTTTTTTGTGCCTTCTGGGAAGCCCGCGTCGCCGCCGCTGGGTTCGCCTCGAAATCTGGGTCAGAGCGCACCCTGGCAGAGGTCCTGGAGTAGCGGTATCAGTACCTTTTGGTTTCCCCAGCTGCCTTTGCCGCTGCCGTTGGCGCCGCTGCCGCCGCTGCCGCCGCTGCCGCCATTGCCGCCGCCGCTGCCGCTGCCGCCGCTGCCGCCTTTGTGGCTGGAGCAAGCCTCCGCGTGGCCACGTGGTGGCCTGGCGCCTTCTCTCGTCTGGCGCTTTGTCGCCCTCCGCTTGGCCCAGACGTCTGGCGCAGTGGAGAACCACAACGGGCGCCTCCTCGCAATTTCGGCCTCCAGGGGCCGCCCTCTGGCCTCCAGGGGGGTCCCCAGATGGTGTGGCGACCACACCGCGTGGTGAGCCAGTAGGTGTTCGGGTTCACCGCATGGTTTTGGGACTCGGGTTGTTTTCCGTGGACGTTTCGGGCGCTCGGGGCCTCCGAGGTCCCAAGAAAGGGGGTGAAGGAGCGCGCGGGGAGGTCTTTTGGGATTCCGAGGTCGCCGCACGGTTCTGGGGCCTCCTATAAAGGCCGATCCAAGTGCAAGGCCGATCCCTGGGGACGGGGCCGATCCGCCAGGGGCCCCATTTGGTGGAGAAACACAACGCAGTGATGCGGGTGGCTCGAGTTGGAGCCGGCTGGGGCGCTGAGGTTGAGCATTACCAGTTCCAGCCGTCAGGGGGAGGGGGGAGAGGCTCCATTGTGCACTGGTTTCGTTCCCTGTCCCCTCTGGACCGCCTTCTTCAGATGGGCACTTCATGCCGAATGTGCCTTTTTTCCCACTGGCTTTGCTGGTGCCCATCCAGATCAGCAGACCCCCCAGCCGCCTCCTAGCCCCTCGACCTCTCGACCACTTCCTTCTCTGGGGCCAGCTTTGCATCCTGAGCCTTTTTTCTGACGGCCCTGGGGCCCGAAGTCGGCTTCCTGAGGCCTGCACTGGCGACGACCCAGCTATTTTTTTTGTCTCCGAGCCGCCGGATGTCTGGTTTTGGGGGTCAGAAAATCGACCCCTGGACCTTTCCAGGGGAACGATCTGACCAGAATTTCGATGGGACTCCAGGCATGGCCACCAGATGCTTTCCCCATTGGCCCAGGATGGATCAGAAACGTTCACAAGCCTCCCCCGACCTTCGAATTGTTGACGCTTGGCGTATCCACACCATGTTAATTCTTTGTCCGACGGTCCTTCGGGCCACCCTGGTTCTCGCGCTCACGCCGACGTCCGGGGCCTCGCCATTGCATTTCTCAATTCCACCTCGACCCGCGGTTCTTTGGCCGCAGCCACCCTGGTGCCCACGCAGCTGCTCGAGGTTCGGTCTCATGCCTTAATTTTCGGAGTTGTCCCTGATCGTCGTTTATATCCCGACTTCCTGGTGCTGCCGACGCCCTGCATACTTGCACGCTGGCAGTTCGACTTAGTTTCAGTCTCTCCTGCCACCCGCCCGCCGCTGGGCCGCCGCGTGAGGCCTCGGCTCGCCGCGTTAGTTGTAGCCTGTTCGCGCTGCCTCTACTTAATTAGTCTCTGCGTAGCCCGCTTTGACCTGACTCGCCGCCGGCGCGCTCGCCCGCGGCCGCTGACAAAAAAGTATCCACACCATATTCTTTCTTTGCGCTAATTTAGGCCGTTGCTAGTCTGCAGTGCCCTGGACGCCGCCCGACCTGTTCTTCGCCGCGGTCGCGATCAAAAAAGTATCCCCACCAGGCCTTCCAGAAACGATGCCCAGGGGAGTTGACGTGATCAGGGAAGTGGGGGAGCATGCAGAAAAACAAAGGGCGGGAGAAGCCGTCCGATACCTCAAGGGGGGAGGATGGTGGAGGAGAAGGAGAGGAAATAGAAGGAGGATGAGGAGGAGGGCGAAGAGGAGGAAGGAGTAAGAGACCGTGGACAACGAGGAGGAGGAGGAGGAGGAGGAGGAGGAGGAGGAGGAGGAGGAGGAGGAGGAGGAGGAGGAGGAGGAGGAGGAGGAGGAGGAGGAGGAGGAGGAGGAGGAGGAGGAGGAGGGAGGAGGGAGGAGGAGGAGGAGGAGGAGGAGGAGGGAGGAGGAGGAGGAGGAGGAGGAGGAGGAGGAGGAGGAGGAGGAGGAGGAGGAGGACGAGGAGGAGGACGAGGAGGAGGACGAGGAGGACGAGGAGGAGGAGGAGGAGGAGGAGGAGGAGGAGGAGGAGGAGGAACATCTTGGCGAGCCCAGGACCGGTTTTGAGCGTCTTGGGTGCCTCGGACATCCTCCGAAGCCTCTTGGCGGCCTCCTGGGAGCCTCTTGGAGGCATCTCTGGCGCCTCTTGGGGCCGCCGGGGCGCTTCTCGGGGCCATGTTGGGGCGCTCTTGGGAACCTGAGGAGCGCTCTTGCGTTTTTTGGAGGATATCGATCAAAAACAAGGGGTTTCCTTATATCCCCCCCTCCCCGGGAGCCCCAAAAGTCGCCTCTTGGGGCGCTCTCGGGGCGCTCTTGGTGAAGGAATGCGTGCGTTCCTACCATCTCCCATCTCCCGCCCGTGCACGTACGTCTGTTCTTGAGTTCCTGAGGTTTCTTGAGATGTTGGCCGAGGGGCCTACATATGCCTGCCAACCCACCGGGGGCTGCCCTTTTTGTATAGGCCCATCAGGGGCCGCGTGATGGGGCCCGGCTTGGGCCCGTGCATTTGACGACTTCCGGAAAGCCTTCTTAAGGTCCGCCGCCCGTTGCTGTTTGGTTCTGCGGGCCCCGCAAGGCCCTTGACCAACTTACGGTCTTCCGCCCGGCGGGTGGCTGATGTGTTCCGGCGCCGCGCGCTGGAGGAAAAAAAACATTCCAATCGCTTTGCGGCTCCGCCATTGGTAGCGGAGCCCGCCGCTGGCGGGTAAAGATCCACGGTGTTCGGCGGCGCCGAGCAGCAGCAGCAGCAGCAGCAGCAGCAGCAGCAGCAACAGCAGCAGCAGCAGCAGCAGCAGCAGCAGCAGCTCCACTGGCGCTGGAGACGATCTGCACCCAGCTCGTCTGCGACGAGCACGGCTTCACGCTCGACGGCGTCGAGGTTCGATGCAGTACAGGATGGATCGCGATCGTGATGACCATCCTGATGCAGGCGGCGGCGCTGAGGGCTATAGTTTCATCCTGATGCGCCGCAGGGTTAGAGGCGCCGCCGCGATGATGTGGAGATCTGGGCACTAGACGCCAACCTTGACGTGAACTACCCTGTGGCGGCGCAGCTCGTGAGCAGGCTCAAGGGCGCCGCCAGGAGGGTCGGCCTCAGGATCCCGAGGGAGAGGCTACAGCCGCTCTAGGCGTTGCCCGCCGAGTACGACGACGACGGGCAGCTGGTCCGAGAGGCGACGGAGGCCGACAACATGAGAGGTATCAACTACGTGCTTGAGGCGCTGGGGGCGGCGCTGGGCGGGCAGTATGCAGTCAGACGTGGCAAGACGATGACCGTTTTTTTCAAGGGCACCCACTACAGTAGGAGAGCGGGTGGGCGCATGACGGATTCCGTGGCGAGGCTCGAGGACGATGGAGTACTGTTCGCGGACCAGGACGACATCTTGGGCTGGTGATTCCTCGAGACATGTTGCCGCTCGCCCGAGCGTCGTGAGCGGGTGGTGGCGTCTCGCCCTGACGACAAGTATTCGTGCCGAGATCTGAAAACGATTGTGGTCGTAATCTTCCCGGACCTACACGTGGCGGGGGGCCGGCGGACACAGCGCCCCTCGCGATTCCAGCGGCGAGGCCAGAACCGCCGCATCGGCCAGAGGCGGCCCAGTCCTGCAGGCGCGGGCTCGTCAACGCGTGGCGCGAACGCGACGGGGCTCGAAGACCGGGCGGAAGACCGCGGTGACGAGCAGCAGCAGGACGACGACTGCGGAGACGACTTCGAGGGGCACGAGCACGAGGTTATGAGGTGGAGGTCTCGGAGATCCACGGGTTCGCGCGCCAGGAGCTGGAGGCGCTCGCGACGGAGCTGGAGGACAGCGCGCTGGGCCCCCCGCCCGAGGGTTCCGCGGCGTTGGAGGGGGCGGCGCTGCGGGTCTCGCAGTTAACGGAGGCGCTGGAGGTCATCGGAGACGCGCGTGGACGCATCCCGGGTCGTGCTGGAGGTGTCGGCGAGGCGAAGGGCAAAGGCCGTGGCGCGCCAGGTGGGCGCTCGCTCCGGTGCCGGGCGCAGCGGGTCCTGGCCCGCCATGGGCGAGGAGCTCGCCGAGAAGTTGAGGCGGAGGAAGCTCATGTCGACCTGCGGGGCTTGCGGACAGCCAGGGCGCTGGGCAGGTGATCCAGAGTGCAAGGCCCCGCATGTTGCGCTGGTCATGGCAGCGGGCGGAGACTCGCACTCGGCCCGCGACGCGCTGTCAATCGAGCAGGTGAGGGCCGCCACGGCCGAGGCGCAGGAGGTGTTGAGGAATGAGCTGATTCAGAAGGTGAAGAACGACTTCCGAGGAGTGGTGGGCGCGGCGTCCGTCATCTCTCGGCGATGGGCGATGTCTGGTGGGAGACCTACTTGGAGGCGTTGGCGGAGCTGGGCGTCGGCTACCTCATCGAGCGCGAGGAGATCACTGAGAAGTTCAGGTTCGGCGATGGCGGCGCGCTGATGTCCTGCGAGGAATTCCGCCTCCCAGCGGTGGTTGCAGGCGTGCCAGTCATGGGGCGCGCCTGCGTGTTGAAGAGCAACGAGCTGGGCTCGCTTCTGGGGCGTGACTTCCCGGGGGCGATTGGCGCGGGCGTCGGCGTGGCGAGGCGCGTGCTCGCGGTGGGCTCCCGGTCGCAGCCGCTGTTTGATTCCGAGAATCGCCGCTTCGCGCTGGAGCTCTGTCCCGGCGAGCATCGCGCCCCCTCGGAGGCCTGCGCGGACGGGGGGGGCTTCCGCCCAGGCTCGGCCATCGGGCTAGGCCACCGCCGCCTCCTCGTGGATGCGTGGGCGCATTGGTGCAGGAGGCGTTCGCGATCGCGGCGACCATGTGCTGTTCGGAGGCCAATGTCAGCAAGGCAATGGGCGGCGAGCCCAGGAATCAGGACAAGACGAACGGCAACGCCACCATCAGGAACATCACCGATGACGCCTGTGCTCTGACGACGGAAAACGTCACGTTAAAGGGCGCGCCAACGCGTGGCGTCGCGCATGGTGCCTGCTCGGCTTGTTGCGGGGCTGGGGCGCTCTAAGAGTGTCGGGTGTGCCGCGTGGGAACGTGCCAGTCGCGCCTTCGGGGGCCGCAGTGCTCGAGGTGCCCCCGCGGCGTGGGCGGCCGCAAGATGGGGGTGGGCAGCGGCGCGGAGTTCGCAGTTCGCGGTCCAGCGCCAGTCGCGGGGGAGACTCCGCGACGGCACGCTCGCGCAGAACGAGGCTGGTCTACGGCAAGCAAGCGCGCTGCGTCAACGTGGAGTCCGACCGGCATGCGTGAAACAGAGAGTTCAGACACAGCTGAACGACGCTACGGTCTCCACTGCTTCCAGGGGCGCGACGGACAAGGAAGAGGACTCCAGGTGCCCTGTTCGAGTACTGCCGTGGGCCGAATAGTTTCATGTCGGAGCTCTGGGGAGCCCGAGGAGGAGCTGCACATCGCCTCGGACTTCCCATGGGCGGTCTTCGCATCCGACGGCGTGCAGCTAAGGCTGGCAATCTACTCGAGCGGGCGGCCCGGCCCCGACCTGGGCGTGCCGGCGTTCTTTGGGGCGCTCTGCCCTGCGATCCCTGGGCGGCGCTTCAGAATTTAGTGAAGACTGGCGCCCAGTTGGCAATCGACCGCGCGCGGAACAGGCACGTGATCAAGCTGTTCGCCAAGGGGGCCCAGCGCGCGCTGGAGGTTGGCGCGATCGTTGCGTTCGAGTTTCGAGTGGCCCGAAAACTGTCGCGGCCGGAAGCAGCCCGAGGTCCAGGAGCTCAGGAAGATCTTGCCTTGCGAGCGCCTGTTCGATGGATGTGCCCGCGGCCTCGTGGGCGACGGGACTGGCGAGACCATCGAGAAGCCCTGGGGGGTGATTGCTAACCGTCAGCCGCCGCAGAAGTTCTTGGACCGGAGGCGCCCCCAGGGCCATGGGCGCGTCCAAGGGCGAGAATTCGTTCGGAAGACGTCCAAGAAGACGGGGCTCCACACCAAGTGCGGGGCTGCGATCATGGGGTTCATGAGGGGCATCGCGGGCGCCAGCTGCGCGCTGGTCACGCTGCTCAGCGACGACGAGAATGAGGGCATGGGGAAGGGGCCCCGGGACATCCCGGCGAGCCTGGGGCCCGAACGGCGTCTCACTCTCAGGGGGGCTGTGGCTAAGATGCACGCCGACCAGGGGCGTCCAGGCAATCGGGCTCTGGCGCGTGCCATTCGACTTGCAGGGGGCTCGAAGTATGAGATAGCAGCGGCGCTCGTGCATCATTGCCCCGCGTGCATCAAGTTAGCGGCGCCGCCGTCGACGGCGGCGTCGTCGTTGCGAGATCTATGGGGGGAGTGCGGGGACTGCCTGGCCATCGATGCTTTCGAGCTGGCAGCCGCCCAGGGCGCCGACTTGGTGTTCCTCTTCCAGATCGACATGGCCTCTAAGTGCCAGATAATTGTCCTGGTCACCTCCCGCGAGCAGACCGTCATCTTGCAGGCCGCGCTCGACTCCTGGCTGCTCGCGCCCGGCGCCGCGAACGTCGGGGGGGGGGGGGGGGGGGGGGGCGAGTTTGAGCGTGGTGTCAGGGAGGAGCTGGAGACTATGGGCTCGAGGCTAGTTTCGAGCGTGCCCTGCGGCCCGACGCAGAACGCTATCCGCGGGAGGCGCGGCCAGACCTGGAAGGCGCGCGCCCGCGCCTTGATCTCGGAGTTCTTCCTCGCCATCTAGAAAGCAGACCAGGTCAAATGGCTCGCTGCGGCGATCAACCACGCCGTGAGCTCTGCAGTGGGCCCGTCGGGGTATTCGCCGTCCCAGTGGGTTCTGGGTCGAGGCATTGAGCTTCCGTGCCGGCTCCTCAGCCAGCGCGGCAACCCCAGGCAGCGCCGGCGGATGCTGGGCGGCGACGAGCCGAGCTTCAGGCGTCGTGTCGGATTGTTCAGCGCCTCGAAGCGCTCGGTGGCCGCGCTGGAGGCTAACCGCAAGATCTGCGAGGCATTCTTCGCCGAGGGCAGAGCTGCAGCCGCGGCGCCAGCGGCGTCGACGTATCAGGTTGGCGACCAGGTTTACTACTGGAGAGGACTGGGTAAGTCTCGTGCCAAGAAGCATTGGGCAGCACGCTGGCACGGACCTGCTCTGGTGATCGGGCGTGAGTCCAGCGTCCTGTGGCTGGCGCGCCGCGACCTCGCCGTCGAGGCGTCGGCGCGGCATGTCAGAGCCGCGGGGGCATCGGAGCTGGTCGTTTGGAAGGGTGTCCTCGAGCGTGCGGAGGGTGCAGGTGGGCCCGCCGCCTCAAGACCAGCCCGGTGGTCACCGCCAGGGTCGGGCGGCCAGGCCCCGATGGTGGTCGACGGCGAGGCGCCGCAGGTCGCCGACCCGCCCCCGACCGACAGCGGCCGCGACGAGACATATTTGGACATGACCATTGGTGAGCGCGCTCAGGCGCCCATGGGCGCCGAGCGGCACCCCGCTGCTGGAGGGCCTCTAGATGTCGAGGGCCCCCCCCCCTCCCCCTTGCGTTCCGCCTGCCAGCAGCAGGCGCCGCTTGGGGATCAAGTGGGGGGAGAAGCTGGCAGAGAGGGGTCCCGCGCCATTTCCGCAGCTCATGTTAGATGGGGCACCCCCGAACAAGCACCGACAGTTCCCGAGCGGCCCACTGGGCCGCAAGAGCATTCCGAGGAAGAGATGCCACCGCTACAACCTGAGAGATCCCAAGATGTCCCACGTCCTCATCATGCTCCTGATCCTCCTCTTCCTTATCATCGCGAGAACGATGAGATGCCGCAGGTGCAGGATATGGGGGACCCCGTGATCCAGGGAGACCGTTGCGAGGAAGGAGAGGTGCTGTGTCAGGAGTTCGAATAACACGACCTCGAGGAGTCCACTAAGGGCGTCGGGAATGCCGACAAGTTCCATGACGTTGAGGAGGGCCTGCCATGGCACGAAGAGGCGCAGGATTAAGGAGGAGCAGTGGCATCAATTTCGCGGAGGGCTGCATCGAATTCGGAGCCCACATCCTATGCTACGCCGTTCGAGCCAGTGCGCGCCGCCCCGAAGCAGGCGTGCGAGCACCTCGAAGACGTCCAGATCTCCATCGAGAGGACCATAGAGTAACGCCAAAGGCACAGCGAGGTGCAGTGCGAGAATGGGCACTCGAGAGGACAGCCTGGGCAACCCGCAGAAAAGCAGGCACGGCATGCTTTAGTCTTTCAGGCCGAGGGAGCTCGAGGGCGTTATCTGACCGGGGCTGCGAGGTCCAAGGAAGGCGCCTTGGACGCCGACTCAGGCGAATCTATGAGATATTAGAGAGCTCATGGCATCCACGGAAGACGTGGGATAAGTGGATGGCGTTCGGAGCAGCACGAAGATGTCCAGATCACGAACTCCAGCAGCATCTTGCCAATGGCGCCAAGGTCGTGGGCGCGCGTTGGGTGGTCGCGAAGAAGCAGACCCAGAGGTCCATCTTCAAGTCTCGGCTACTAGTTCAGGGTTGCCAGGAGCGCTCAGCCTGCGTCAGGAGCGACGCGCCTACTGGTTCAGTGGGCGCCCTGATGGTCGCCCTCGGGTTCGTGGCGCAGAAGGGTTGGACATTTTGGTCCTGCGATGCGAAATCGGCCTACCTTCAGGCGGAGGGGGTCGACGGGCTGTTACTCATCAGGGTGCCCAAGAGGTGCTCCGCGGACCCAGGCAAGGTGCTCTACGCGCGCGGTTCGATCTACAGCACCAAGGGCGCGGGGCGCATGGTAGGAACGCGCGCGCCCCGTCAGCTCCTCCCCCCTGCCAGATGCCACCAAAAGCTCGAAGGAACATGATACCAGCATGCCATCGACCTCATCATATCGAGTCGCTCGCCGCAAGATGGACATATAGAACAGCTTCATCAAATCGAGACGCTCACCAAAAGCATACTGACATGCGGAAGATGAAGTCGTGATCTTCTGTCCTGAACTTAACTCGATGATGCGGCCAGCGTCGCGTTGGCCTTCTCGACGCTGCAGAACGAAACGCCCCACGCATCCTCGGGCGTCCGTCTATTGACTCGGGGTCCACGTAGTAGCCAATGCCACTGGTCATCTAGTTCGCCTCATCATTGGTAATCTGCCTGCCCTCCGGACTGCAGCGCCTCATCACGCGCTCCTACACTTTGAGCACCACGGGAACGTCCTCGAGACCAGCCTTCTGCAGCTTCGCCTCGATGCTTATGAAGTCGAAGTCCTGCGGCACCGCCTTGATCTCAACCTTCCCAGCCAGGCGACTCCTCGGGTCACGCATGTCCTCGTCGTCGAGCGTCTTCACCGAGAGTGCCGCCCTCTGCCTCGTGACCTGCACTGGTTCTGCTCTGAATATGGCACTGTCGCTCTCGATGTCCATGGGTTCGGGCCCCTCGCCCTGGATCTTCTCGGGCATTCTCGCCGTCGTCGCGGGGCCCGGCAATGCCGTCGGAGTCGAGCCTCGCATGCGACCATCATCCCCGTGAATGAGAGGCGGCATCCTTCCGATCTTCTGGGGGCTGTCGAATCGACGCCCCCATCTCCCCCATCTGCCACATGAGGCAAGCCACAGCCATAGTCATCACGAACAGGATAGCCAGCAGAACGTAGATCACTGCATTGTCATATTCCGTCGCAGAGGACGATGCCGTTGCCGAGGCCAGAGATGACACCAACACTGCAATGCGAAATCCGGATCTTGGACTCGACTTACTAACTGCAAGATCCTTCAACGCGGTGCTCGATCCACTCCCCGATGTTCTTCCTAGTGCGACACCCGATCCGCTCGCGGTTGATCTGCCCCGCGCGGATCTTGATCCCCTCGCGGCTGACCCCCCCAACGTGGCACTTGATCCTCGAGGTTGACCCCCTCAGTGTGGCACCTGATCTTCTCGTGGTTGATCTCCTCAGCGCGGTACCTGATATGCTGGTGGTTGGTATCCTCGTCGAAATCAGGACTGACGGTGATTTCGCGGCCCGTCGCATCCTCTGCGGAAGTGGAAACTCGCATCTCGGAAGCAAAGAACGCAATCAATATCGCAAAACACGCCCAACTCTTAGTCGGACCGCCAGCTACCATCGCTTCAGTCTTCGTCCGAATCAGCGCAGCATTCTCTTGTGCCTGAACACTCTCACGAAGCATAGAAACAACAATGCGAAATCTGTTGTCCGCAACGGAACCACTATCCTTGTCCACAGTGACCTTCAGCATGTCGCTGCCCGTCACAGCCAGGACCGGCCATGAGGTGGATGAGCTCTCAGCGCCCTTGAACTTGATGCTGGCTGGCATGTATAGCTCCTGAAGAAACTGTCGCAGGAACTGGCCATGCTTCGCGGCCCCGCCGACGCCGCGCGCTTCCGCGGCCAAGGTGGATCTCGCAACTCGCTTGACTCAGAAACTCGCCCACGCCAAGGGCACCCGCTCATCGAACCGTCCGCCCACAACTTCCCGGGAAGCCTTGGTGACAGGACCGCTGCGGCCTGGCTCTCCCCACCCGGCACGCTCGCAAACGAGGGATCGCCGCAGGCTGGGGCGCGCGCCGCACCGACGCCCGCGACGCCCCTGCGGATGCGCAGGCCGCGCTCGATATTCTGCTCGACGCAATCCACGAGCTCGCTGGCATCGACGAGGCCCTGGACCCTCAGGGCAATTTCCTGGGCGCGAGCATGTTCCGCTCGAAGGCTGCGTCGGGCCTCGAGCGATGAGCCAACCACTGTAGCTTTCCCTTCGCGCTGCGAAACATGCGCATCTCCCCCGTGGTCGCCCGGGCGCCCGGAGCTCCCCCCTTGTCTGGGGCGACGGGGGTGCACTCCACAGCCTTGGCCGCCTTAGCTTGCGCGACGTGGAGCCCGGTCTCGCCGCGCGTAACATGCGCCCCGCAGCGCTCAAACTCCCCGTCGCGCCTCTCCAGATGTAGAAACTCAGCCACCCCTCCGAGCATCTTGTCGACCGCGGGGCTCGCGACCCCCCTTGCAACCAGCAAGTCGTCGACGTGGCTGTGGACTACCATATGGAGATCCACGTCGCAATAATACTGCCCGTGCACGCGCGTCTTCTCCTGAGTTCTTGGGGCTTCCTGAGGTGTTGGCCGAGGGGCTTGCATATGCCTGCCAGCCCACCACGGGCTGCCCTTTTTGTTTTGGCCTATCAGGGGCCGCGTGATGGGGCCCGGCTTGGGCCCTTGCACTTGAGGACCTCTGGGGGGCCTTCTAAAGGTCCGCCGCCCGCTGCCGTTTGGCTCTACGGGCCCCGCGGGGCCCTCGACGAACTTGCGGTCTTTTGCCCGGCGGGTGGCCGATGTGCTCTGGCGCCGCGCGCTGGTGGAAGGAGAGCATTCCAATCGCTTTGCGACTCCGCCACTTGGAGCACTCTTGGGCGCTCTTGGGGCCGTCTTGGGGCTCTCTTGGGTCTGGTCTCTCCAGGGGGCGTCTTGGGCTATTTCGGAGCCATCTTGAGGCCTCGGGTGGCCATCGGAAGCGAACCGGCGAGAAAACGAAACACGTGGATGTTTCATAGGTTTTGGACGGATTTTGGCTTCTCGGAGGCCTCCTGGGAGGTCTCGGAGGCTTTTTGGAGCCGTCTTGGGGAGTTCTTGGGGCCTTATGGAGCCTCTTGGGAGCCGACTTGAGGCATTTTGGGTTATCTTGAGCCACTCTGGAGGTCATCGTGGGCTTTCTGAAGCCCTTTTGGAGCCATCTTGGGCGAAACAATAGTTGCCCTCTGACACGTCGCGGGGCGCCCCGTCCAGGTCCAGGGGAGGGGGTATGGGGGCAGGGGTCAAGACACACCCTATATAGCAAATCGTATAGCTCACTCCCACCCGTCCTCCCAACACATGAGTAATACCCGAGCCTGAGCATGTTCAGCGGTCGTCTTGGGATGGTCAGCTACTTGGGAACCAAAGCCGACCCCATGTGCGCGACGTTGGGGCGGTGTGCGCCGCGCGTGCCAGGCGCGCCAGTGCCAGGCGCGCCTGGTGCGCCAGATGCGCCGCGTGCTCCGCGTGCGCCAGGTGTGCCGCATACCCCAGCAACGCTAGGTGCGCCACGTTCGGGGCACGTGCAGAGTGTGTCAGGTGCGCCTGCGCACGTGACAGCACACATCGGGAAACATGTCGGCCCCCACCATCCTTGTCGAAAACCAATGCCCATCATTGTTTCTGGTGGGCCTGCGCGCAGCAGGCCATACGCCACCACCCCCGCCGTCCCTGTCAAAAACCACTTGACAGTAATCGCGGGGTGGTCGCGCACTATCCAGATTTAGCCGCGAGGTGTTTTTCCCAACCATCCTGTGGGGTTGGGTCCTCGTTTTGAAGAGACGGTGCCCGCGTCCTCTCCTCCTCCTCTTCCCCCTCCTCCCTCCTCCCCCTCCTTGCCTCTGCTCTCGGCACACCTCTCACGCGTTTCGTAGCCCCATAGGGAGCTCCACCGAAGGCCCCAGTGGGGGTGTCC